CTTATACATGTAATAATCCCACAATTGTATTGACTCCCTAGTTATTTTGTAATAATCTCACTATTGTATTTACTCCCTAGTTATCTTATAACAATCTCACAATTTTATTTGCTTCCTAGTGATCTTATACATGTAATAATCCCACAATTGTATTGACTCCCTAGTTATTTTGTAATAATCTCACAATTGTATTTACTCCTTAGTTATCTTATAATAATCTCACAATTGTATTTGCTTTATAGTTATCTTACAATAATCTTACAATTGTATTGACTCCCTAGTTATCTTACAATAATCTCACAATTGTATTTACTCCCTAGTTATCTTATAATAATCCCGCAATTGTATTTACTCACAATACCGCAACAATCAGCATTATTTCATTGTTACCATTTATTACATAATGATTTCGAATACATGAATTAAAGAGTGATTTGGATCCACAACACAAAGCACAGAAAACAAACATTTCCCATTTCTACTTTTGAAAAATGTGGGGGGGGGGTCAAATTTACATGTGCGATTATTATTGTTTAGTGACTTTTAATATATTTTTTCATCATTTCAGGTGATATTTTACAAGGGACTATTACCTGTACTAAAAATATAAAGGACCATCGATCTATGATTGTAAAGTTTACTATAAATGGAATAAATATGAAATATTATGTACATTAATGTAACTCAAGATGTGAATATATAATAAATAAATCATAAATGTGAAATTGACATAAAGGTGTTTGCATTTTTACTTCACTAGTGGGCCCAAGAACAGTATTCAAATAAATCCAGGTATTGTTTCAAAAATAATATAGAAATTAACGTTTTGGAGAACCTTCCTAAAATGACACTGAGTCATCTAAGTATATGTCAGTTATTTTACGTAATAAGTTCTTAATAAATGCCAACCATAGATCATAGAAATTATTTTTGAATTTGTCAAATGCAGCAGCTAGTAGTGTATTGGATATTGACAATGCTGCTGTGTAACTTGATATTGTTTTGTTATTATTTACACCTGTAACCAAACCAAATTATGAGATGTGGAATTTTTTACCTCGCTAATGGTGAATGCCCCCAAATCAGCATTTTCATGTGAAAAGTACTGTAAAATGACTAAATGTCACTGGGTTTAAATTTCGCTGATTTAACATCTCAGACATCTTCATGGGTTTTAAATTCACAGTTTTATCATTTAGATAATGTGTTCTATGCTAAATTTTACATATTCACTGGGTTTTAATTTAGCGCATTTTCCATTCAGTGAAATAAGCAAAATTAAAACCCAGTGAATCATTAATCCTTTTACAGTAGTTTAGTGACAATATATTCTTATCTTGGTACAGTATATAAAATAAAACCATGCTATAATGGTCAAGGAAATATTAGTAACAACACAAACAAAATTGTTTTTTTTTTATAAATTTTGAAAAAAAGGATTTATGGCTTTCTGGAAACAACTCAAGATCTTGTCTGGTGTGACAATACTATTTGTTTTATAGTATAGTTCACCTTTGATTGTTGAACAGAGAATCTTGTGTGTGATTTGGTCAAACAACACAACATGACTGAATTCATGGACCTGCTTGGTGATGTTTGATTGGCAAGTAACTTTCAATATTTTGCGAATATCCTAGGTGTTGTATTCATCGTCATACACATTATTTGACACGTCAAATACCGACTACCCCGGGACATACGCTGGCTCGTATCGGTAGGACATAGAAGTTTTCTTTAAGTTAGAATCCTACTCAGCACTTCAAATACCCAGAACTTATTGATTTTCCAATAAATTGTACTTTCGGGTGATATAAGATTTTCAAAAAGTTGTATTTTAGTGGATAGTGGTCATTTTGGCAGTATTATAATTCTAATATATCTTAAATTGTAGGCTAGGTGATATATGCTGAAAAAATAATATATTATAAATGATGGAATACTCTGGGTTTTAAAAAGTGGCAATAAATTACATTTTTCTTTAACATTGTGCTCTATGGAATTGTTCTAAAAATAGTGATATTTAAAAAATATTAGGACAAGTTTCTCAAAATACATCACTGTAACACAAAAATAAAATATGAATGTTTTTATTTGATTTATGACTAACTTTCTCCAAAATTATAAGTAGGCCTTAAAAGAAACAGTGTGCTAACTTGTTCGTCTCTGTGCTTTTGATGTGTTTGGATTAGGTGAAACAACAAAAATTGCTCAATATAGAATTTGATCAAAATTCAGTATTTTTTCCTATTTTTTGTTTGTTTGTTTGTTTGTTTTATGTGTATATTTGTGAATAATTCCGCTAATATTGATCAGTTACACAGGATATTGGCTTGTTTATCTTTCATATGACATCTTTGATAACAGAATGACAAAATGTATCATTCGAATAGATTTGTATTGCTGTCATGTGATGTGTCAGATAATGCAAAGTAAAGTAGTACAACAACTGAGGTGGCTCACAACATGGCATTTTATAAAACCATTTTTACAATTCATTTCCATTTTGAAAATTCATATTTATGTTATAATCAGTTTTTAATAATCATTGGTACATAGATGTCATAGGACACTGCACAGACCTGATAGTTTTTAGGGTAATACGAGTACATATTAATTACCTAATTAGCATAATTAATTAATTTTCAGCTTTTGATATTTCAAGTAGTAATCACATTTCAATGAAATTTGGTACATAGATGTCATAGGACACTGCACAGACCTGACAGTTTTTAGGGTAATACGAGTACATATTAATTACCTAATTAGCATAATTAATTAATTTTCAGCTTTTGATATTTCAAGTAGTAATCACATTTCAATGAAATTTGGTACATAGATGTCATAGGACACTGCACAGACCTGACAGTTTTTAGGGTAATACGAGTACATATTAATTACCTAATTAGCATAATTAATTAATTTTCAGCTTTTGATATTTCAAGTAGTAATCACATTTCAATGAAATTTGGTACATAGATGTCATAGGACACTGCACAGACCTGATAGTTTTTAGGGTAATACGAGTACATATTAATTACCTAATTAGCATAATTAATTAATTTTCAGCTTTTGATATTTCAAGTAGTAATCATCACATTTCAATGAAATTTGGTACATAGACGTCATAGGACACTGCACAGACCTGATAGTTTTTAGGGTAATATCAGTATATATTAATTAGCTAATTTGCATAATTAATTAATTTTCAGCTTTTGATATTTCAAGTAGTAATCATCACATTTCAATGACACTTGGTACATAGATGTTATAGGACACTGCACAGACCTGATAGTTTTTAGGGTAATATGAGTACATATTAATTACCTAATTTGCATAATTAATTAATTTTCAGCTTTTGATATATCAAGTAGTAGTCATCATATTTCAATGAGACTTGCTACATATGCAAATAACACAAGGATTGTCACGACAATACACCTGGTCAGTTCTGTGATGTTTATTCCAACGTTTCGCCCTAGAAATAGGGCTTCTTCAAGAAAACTGTTGTAAAACAAATAGATACAATGTGTAAATGATTGTGATTGAAATGGTCCAGTGAAAATGACGTGATTACAAGTACAATGTATTTACAAAAATAATAATAATACTCCAAAGACTTACCTCTGTTGGGATGCCGTGAGATGTAAATTGGCATAACCCATGTAGAGGGAAACCTATTTATAGGTGTAATAGGTGGCGCTGTTAGATAAATGCGCCCTCACTGGCGGATGTTAATGCCCAGTGGTGTTTGTGTAA